TTCCCTAGTATTTTCACGCAAATCCCGTGTTTCTTTACTATCTCGCTAATTGATGTTCCAGAACACACGAAAATAGTTAAGATTGGTCATCCAGTCGTGATGAAATCCACCGAATGTTACCTTTTTTCGCATAACTCCACCATTTTTATCCGAGCAAGTTCCATAAGTGTATTCACCTCCTCTGGTGGACGTTTGAAATTCTCGATGCTAAACGCATAAACTGTAACCACTTTGACCCCGAGATGTAAGCATATATCTAACATCTGAGTGCATTTAGAGCTTAAAAGCTTCACATAGAGTTTACCAATGAAAAGATATTCTAAATTTCTACCTCGTACATCGCATTGTAACCCATGTAGTGACCTTCTACTACCAGCCTATTCATTTTTCTTGCAAATCTTCGATTTCCATCCATTATGAACCCAATGTGTTGGGGGATTGGTCCCTGCCGAAGGATCTTGATTAACAACGCACGGGCTTGTTGACTGAGGTATGTGAGTGGAGAGGTAAAGATACTGGCAGTGACAGCAACCTTCGAAGCCGTCTCTGCATCATTTTGATCATGAGTATATGGTTTTAAAAAAGTCATAGCAATATATAATCGAAGTTACGTCAATCTGGTTTCAAACTTGTTCGTAATTTACATTACGTAGACTATTTTCGACCACGTGCGTGCAGATAAGTGATCGTTTCTTTTGCTTTTAATATTACTGTACATACACGTTAGATCCCTCCTTTCGTTTATAAAACTTTCGAAATGCAAGTTGCCCACAACGTGTCCGAGTTCCAAGATGGTGAAGAACGGATTTTAGTATTAAAAGATTCATCTGTCCTTGAGAATGAAGGTAACATTCCGTTCTAATTTTTTTTTTTTACACCTGGATCGCCGAAGTTAACTTGTCTTTTCAAAAACAGAGGAAGGAGATCAACTGATTTCGATTCAACTAGAGGAACAGAATAGGCTTAAAAAGAATCTAGAAAATAAAAAAAAAAAACCTGTATACACTGGGTACGATGACGAAGAATTCAATTTTGGTGGTGGGGTGACCAAAAAAAGCATTCTATCGCATTACGACGAAGAGATTGAGGGGGAAAAACGACATGTATGTATGTATTTTTTATAGAACGTCGACTGATCATTTACGTTTTTATGTCGAGTTCCTTACTTCTATGAGAAAATTTTTTAATAGGGGTTTACATTGGGCAACGACGGTACTGTTCGATT